ATACAAGGGAAGATGAGGTACGTATTGTCCTTTAGCATAATTACAGTGCCGTGAAAGTGTTTTTTTCCCCTTACTGATTTCCTGTATTATTGCAACTTTTTATTTTAGGTCCTCACCCAAAATCTAATATTAGATAAAAGGAACCTGAGTGAACAAATAACACAAATAATTTTGTTTTACTTATTTAATTTATTTAATGAACAACATTATCCAAAACCAACCGGCACTGTGTGAAAAAGTAACTGTGCAATTAAAAGGATAATTTAGAGTCACCTGATTGAACACAGCCAGGCTTGATTTCAGCCAGCCCTGCTCAATATAAACCTTACTTATTTTGACCCTTACCATCAGTCAAGTTGCCAGCACAAAGATTCAACAAGCACATTATGCCACGATCAAAGGAAATTCCTGAAGAGATCAGAACACATTTGTTGATAGCTATCAGTCTGGAAGGGTTACAAAGATATTTCTAAGGCTCTGGGGATTCCACCGAACCACAGTGAGAGACATAATCTCCAAACGGAGAACACTTGGAACAGTAGTGAACCTTCCCAGGAGTGCCGGCCTGCCGAAATTTCTCCAAAGGTGCAGTGTAAAATCATCCAGGAAGTCGCAAATGATTCTAAAAAAACATCCAAAGAACTGCAGGCTTCACTTGCCTCAGCTTAGGTCAGTGTTCATGACTCCACAATCAGAAGAGACTGGGTAAAAATGGGCTTCATGGGAGAGTAGCAAGGCGGAAACCACTGCTAACCAAGAAGAACATAAATGCTCGTCTATCATTTGCCAAGAAGAACCTGGATGATCCCCAAGCCTTGTGGGAGAATGTTCTATGGACAGATGAGTCAAAAATTGAACTTTTTGGACAACATGGGTCCGATTATGGCTGGAGTAAAGCAAACACAGCAATCCACAGTAAGAACATCTTACTAACAGTCAAACATGGTGGTGGTAGTGTGATGGTGTGGGGATGCTTTGCTGCCCCAGGACCTGTATGACTGGCCATAATTAAAGGAACCATGAATTCTGCTCTGTATCAGAAAATTCTGAATCAGAGAATGTCTAGTCTGCCAGTGAGCTGAAGCTGAAGAGCAGTTGGGTCATGCAGAAAGACATTGATCCAAAACACAAAAGCAAGTCCACATCAGAAAGGCTGGAAAGAAGCAAAATTATTTTTTTTGGAGTGGCCTAGTCAAAGTCCAGACCTAAACCCAAGAGATGCTGTAGCAGGACCTGAAATGAGCAGTTAATGCTTGAAGACGTGCCAATGTTTCTGAATTAAAGCAGTTCTGTGAGAAAGAGTGGGCTAAAATTTATCCACAGTGATGTGAAAGAATTATAGGGAGGTTTTGGTTGCAGTCATTGCAGCTAAAGGTGGCGCTACCAATTATTAAGTGTAATTAAGAGCAATTACTTTTTCACACAGGGGATATGTGTATTGAATAACTTATTAAATAAATGAAATAGTAATAATAAGAATAAGAATAAGAATAATAAAGTGTTATTTGTTACCTCAGGTACTAGATTTTGTCAAAAGATCTGAAAACATCCAGTGTGACAAAGATGCAATAATATAGGAAATCAGGAAGGGGGCAAATTCACGGCACTGTATAATCATCATATTCACAATATTTATTTAA